TTGCGTTTGTTAAGTGCATTTGCTTTACAATTTTATGGTAAGAATTATATAAGACTAGAGTTGGAAGACTATTAATATTTATAGACTATTGCTTATTTACTTCTGCTGTAAAAGAAGCCGCCTCTTTCCCTTCGTATATGATTGTGTACCTGAATATAAGCTGTGCAATAAGCATGTTAGCCTATGAATTCAGAAAACAGCCATAATCTTTCATTGCAACAAGGTAATATCAGCTCATCTGAAGAAAATGCTGATGGAAAAAAATTGCACCCATCAGCAGTACCAGAAGTACGTTGTATTCAACAAATATCAGAAGTGAATTTAAAAATTAAGAACAGAACTATCAATCATCTATTCTATACAAATAGAAGAAGTGGTATTGTCTTTCGACTCTTGCATTTACTTTACATTGTTTAAGTGCCTTTGAAAGGAAAGAAAAACATGAAAACTAGGTGTTAAAAAGTCTAAAGCAAGACTTGAAAGTACATTTAAGGACAAAACATTCATATACGTGTGTGTGTGTGTGTGTGTGTGTGTGTGTGTGTGTGTACCAAAGAGAGAAATCAATAACCTTGTTTAAGTAGTTTAACTGAGTGGTTATACAACTAGCTGCAACCATGACAAACACCCACGTTTGGAAGGAGGCCACCTGGCTTGAGCCCTCGATTGTAAGTCTTATAGCAATACCTACCGCTTTAATGCTCATAACCTGCAAAGAAAAAACCAAACATTTTATCAATCATACGAGCAACAAGATTAGCACTCTTTATCACTTTTCTTTTTCCATTTGTGTTTCCTAAATTACAGCCAGCAGACAAAACATGCTTGTGATCTCACACAAACAACGTCAGGGAAATCAGAATATTCATTTAGAGCTATTTAAAAGCCACAACAAAACCACAGTTTACAAATTTTTGGCATTCTAGATAGAATATATCATGCAGGATTGGAAGAATTGAACCAACGTGTGGTCATTTCAGCAGGATTCATGCTGAGAGGCTCCTCAAGGGCTTTGCTGAAAAACCTAGACAATTTAACCCTAAAGTAGAGGTGTCTTTGTTTTTGTCTCACCAGCATTCTCTAAACAATGAAGTACATTTTTCTGTTTGATAACATAACGAGACATTTTCCCCTTTGGCAAGAACACACAACTGTGTGGTACATGAATATTTTCCTATAAAATGATCACTGGAAAAAAGATGCGTACTTACCGTTAAGGATCCAATAATAGAACAAACGCCAATATAAACCATTATATTTGTCTGCCCATAGCGTGGTTCACAATACAAAACTAGTACCAATGTCACTGCCACTGCTGAGGCTGTATACAAAAGAAAAGCTGAACCAAGAAAAGAGGAAATTATCAAGAAACAGCATCACATTTATCAGGTCTATACATATGACCACGAGAGGCAGTATCATAAAGCATCTTTTAAAGTATGTATGTTCACCTGGCTGTATTGCTAATACCCAGATTTCTTCCACAGAACTAAGACTATGTTCACCAGGTGCGTGAAGTACAATTATGGTAGAACCCACTATACATAAAATGCATCCCAATATTCCTACCTTCCGCAATTTCTCTTTCAATAAAAAATGAGCTAAAACAGCACTGTCAGTAATAGAAGAAAGATGTTAGCCATTCTTATGATTAGTCATAGAGCATAAGACTAAGATCTGAAAGGTGACCTTTTTCTGTTTTTAACATTGGAGACTGCTATGTACATTTACCTAACAATTATACTTAATGCTCCAAGAGGTGTAACAAGAACAGCAGGAGCATAAATGTAAGCTACAAAATTGGCAAATTCTCCAATGATCACTGCAAAATTTTGTAGAAAAACTCTACTTCAGATTATCGGATGAAATAATATCCAGAAATGTATAATTTAGGAATCTGAGAAAGGCAAAACTTACTGGTTACCATGCCAATCCACCAAAGAGGCTCTAGCAAATATCTATATCCTCCTGAACCTTCATTTAATGAGAAAAAGAGTAGAATTAGAAACAAAATCTAGATATTGAAATTCGATCATCTATATGTAAACAGCCATCGCTTCTAAGTTCAATAAACCCTATTCCTTCTCAACAAGAAACTCTTAAATTATTTGTGGTTCCTGCAGTTACATTACATCTGATAAGAAGGTATGAACTAAACCAGGGTGATTAATTTTTGCAACTAATACTTTCATACTTCCATTTTCCCTCCTTTTCTTATGCCTTTACTTCATTGGCAAAAACATCATTAGATATAGTTTCCACTCTGCCAAGTCACTACATATCCGTTTTGGCAAGATTTACTTCTTCTTGCCTCCTCCATACCACCAGCAAACTGTGATAATTGTCATACGAGCTAAAACCACGTGGCCAAATACCCCCGTCTTATCCCTCATTTAATAATTAAGAACTTAAAAGTATTCTATCCTCTTTTCATATTTTAATCATCAGTTAATAAGTATGGTTCTCAATTCCAGTACTCCTGAGTATAATTTGCTAGCAGGAAACTTTTACATTTATTTAC